TGTCTCTCTCTCTCTCTCTCTCTCACTCTTGCTCTCTCTGCTCCCTGCCCCCACCCTCACCCCCTACCCCACCCCTACCCCTGCATGCGTGGAAAAAAGACTATGTCAGGACACAGTGGAAAAATGGCCATCTTCAAGCCAAGAAAAGAACCCTCACAAAAAAACACCTAGGCTAGCACCCTGATCTTAGACCGCCAATCTTCAAAGCTGTGAGAGAATATATTTCTGTTGTTTAAGCCACCAGCCTGTGGCACTGCTACAGCAACTCAAGCTGAACAATATACTAACCGAAGCATTTCCCTTCTCCGAGAGTCAGTCTTCTCATCAGTCTGAAGAGGCTAGACTAGATCTCTTCTAATGTTAAGATTCTCAGTTTATATGACTACTGTCCACATCATTTCAGCGAAAAATGACTAGACATTGTGAAATTTTTAGAGTACTTAGATATGAAGTTTTTCTGAGGTCTTTGTAGATTTTCACTTGGATTATTAATTTCCAAATTTTCTTCCATAGAGAGCAGTCATTTCCCTTACAAATCACATAGTCTGGTAAGTTATCGTCTATTTTCACTATGAAACTGAACCTATTTCACGTTCCTTCTTGTGACTTCTATGGGGGAGATGGATGCTTTCCTTTGTAGACTTGGCGTGATGTCTAATATTTTGTCACTAACACCATGTGAGGGCCTCTAGGAAATCAAGCCTTTATATGTTACATATATTTTATATAAATGATGACTCTTAGAGAAGGCAGCACAATTACATTATTATGTTAATCCTAATGACTTAAAGTAAGAGATCTACAATTTTCTTCACAGGAAACCAAATTATTTTCTTCAGGTTCTTTGTACAACATATGTCGCATCTTTACAAAAGCACACCATCCTACTGCATCATAATTTGTCATGTCTCTCTAGAATGACTAGAAAGTCACAGTATAGATGAAGGAGATATTAATTCAAGTCAGAAAAAGACAGGCCTTTGGTTTTCTTGGTTTATGAAATGGGCTCTGAATGAGGCCAAAAAAACATATAGTTATGGAGCTATCCAAACCAATAGACAAATCACTCAGAATCTTTTCACAACCTGCCAACCAACGTTATCATGTTTCCAACGTACACCCCAAATTCCAAGCAGTGGGGTTTTCTAATTCATCCTCAAACACATGATTGTTCCTAGCTGTGTACCATCATTAAAGAGAACTACTACCATTTGTTTAATGTTACAATTTTTCACCATAGTCTGAAAATCATCACTTTATTTGACTCTGAAAACAACACTATGAAAAGAAACAAAGCTCAGTGTATTTCCTCAGGTACAGCTGAAGAAACTGAGGTTGAGAGAGAGCAAGGGACTTAGCCATGATAATTGGGCTAGTAATTAGCAACTGGAAGCTAAAAGGTCGCTTCTGAACCCAGCGTTCTCCCATTTTGTAAGGTTACGGGGCTTCCTTCCTTCATGTAACTGAATTCTACCTATCTTTCAACATCCTTCTGTTCAATTTACCAGTACTGCCCATCTCTACCCACATCACCAAAAATTCTTCCCTTCTCTGAAGTCCTGCTAATCTCACTGTAATCTCAGTGGGCATACATTTTTCTATTCACTGATGGTGCATCCTGTGACATTACATACTACTTTCTATATCTATTTGCTGGCTACTCAACTGTACCAAAAGCTTCTGGAGGTTCCTGTTTGTATCCCCCTGGTGTACCAATGATCTTTTTTTTTTGCCTTTGTTTGAGCCTGCCTGATATGCCTTCACCTGCCCCTACCCTTTGGTGTCCCTATTTTGGTAATAGTATCCTTTAGGGCATGACCAGTCTTCCATCATAGGCAGTCTTGGTAGCACTGTCAATCAAGGTTATTCGTTCTCCCTGGGACAAAGGGAGTTCTTATAATCCATACTAGGCCATTCAGTCTCTCTTCCTAATTAGAATTTTAATCGAATACAGGGAAAGGAGGAGAAAAATGGTTGGAGCTAATACACCCAAAAAGCCAACTTCCTGAAAAACCTTCTCATCAGTTCCTGCTCCCGTATTCTCAAAGCTGTGATAGTGGCTGTTCTTTTAAAGGCCAAGTTCTTCAGCCTTTCTTCAGTTTCTGGCTAAGCTACCTTATACCCTCCCAATAAATTCTGTTTTGTTTTTGTTTGTTTGTTTTTCAGTCAGGCAGTCACTTCCTGTTGCTTACAAAGATCCTTATCAGTTATACCCAAAAAGCTTAGTGCCTAGGGAGTGCTTAGTATTTTCAAATGTTTTGTTTTTATGCAGATTATATATGTTATTATATACTGAAAACACAAAAAACAAATGACCCTGAGGTGCAACATTGCTATTGGTTAGAATTTTAATAACCAGCAGGCAAGCATGGGCCAAGCTAACACTGGGAACTCATCTCCATAGAAATGATTTTTCTTACAGCTCAGCACCCTGGTTTGGTGACTCACAAAGTGATAATTCACTGCTGCAAATTAACAAAGTATTGTGTAGTGAGGGTAGTACTTATAGTAATGATACCCTTTAGTGATGTTTGACATTTCGGTTAACCCGTCTGTTTTCCTTTTCTTCCCAAATATTATAGGAGTCAATTGTGACCATCTGAATGTTTAATATTACTTTACGATAAGATACATTGGATAACTGCTTATACCACGGCTCCTTCTTAGCTAGGTGGATATTTTAACATGCTCTATATCTTCTTGTGAAAAACGGTAGATTGCACTTTTAAATTCACTGAGAAAGGAAATTACCATTAGAATAATTTAGGTTCCTAAATGGAATCATTTTTTTAAAGCATAATCAGTAATCTACAAAGAAAAGTTCCTCTGCTATTTTTTATGAAAAAAATAACACTAAGAAAAATCAATCAGGCATTCTTTAGAAAATAACTGGAATTTAACAGCAATTCTAGCTAATCATACATCAGTAGTTAGTTAATTCATTTGAAAACAGATTATAAACCTAAGCAAAACATTTCTATGTACTTCAGTAAATTTCTGTCATTTTAGACATTTACATATCTACTCAGAATCTTTTGAATTCCAGGAACATCCTTTTAATTCTAGACATTATGGGAATATCATGAATGCATATGATATTTGTCTTTCTTAATGACAAGTATTTCCCTGAAGATAAAAATCCCACTGAAAAATTGGGAGGGGGAGATTTTAAAACACTCACTTTTTTCTCTTTTAGAACACCTACTACTAACATGATAGTATTTCCCACAAGGATGTTTTTTTATTTTATTTGAAGGTGGCAAAAATCTTTGTGCTGAATCCTTTGAGCATACCTCTAGTGATAGATGTCAGATCAGCGTTGTGTGGAAGAACTTTTATTTGACAGCTAGATGACAGGAAGAAGCTTCTCTCCAAAATATAAGATGTAACTGTAAAATCCTTCTGTGAGGTTAAAATAATCTTTTGTTCCTGTGTATAAATGACCTATTCATTCTTGCTTCAAAAAAAATCAGTGCATGTAATTACTTTGAATAGTGTGAAATTAAGACACTTAAAAGGGTACATATTTATTCAAATTGGGATAGTTTGTTTTAAATGTCATTTTTATATGAATTAAATGTGAAATGGGTATACAATACAAACTCCCAATGATTTTTTTTAAATTTATGATACTTTTATAATCATAACCAAGTACACTTTAAGAATCGCCCACTGTACATACAGCATATACTCTAAACAAATAGCATCTTGTAAGAGATAATTGTATTAGTATTGAGTATATGGTATATAATACAACAAGAGTCTTAAGCAGTTAGTTTTACCCTACGAATCTGGTTGATTTATTCTAGTTTATTACAAGCATTGCCTTTTTCTCTCTGTCATTAGCAAATAATTTCATATGCCCCTTAATATCACAAGAGGAGCGAGTAAAAATGTTTTTTTTTCTTTTTGACAAAATTTATTATTTTGGATATCTTCCTTTTTCTCTTATATCCCTCAGAAATAAATCAGGAGTAAACGGATACAATTCCATTATATATCCTATTATCTGAAAATATTATTCTTTATGCCTGCCTGAGTTAGAAATACCAGGAACAAATCATTTTTGATACATATTAAAATGCTTGTCCGGGTATATGTAATGCACATCTATTTAATGCATGAATAGAAATGTATATCCATTCCTAGATTTGGGATTCTTGTTATAATATACTTCAAGAACTAACCAAAGTTCTGCAATGTGTTCAGATGTGAGAGAGGAAAAAAAGGTGAAAGAATGGTGAGACGTCAAGGACAGATTGCTTGTCTTCAGATTTATTTTTGCCTCTAGCTTTCATACAGGCCGAACCTCAGTCTGTTCAGTTTTCTGTCTGTAACAGACAGATCTTTCCCTTGAAAAAGGTGGTTTGCTCTAGTCTAGAAATGGACATATACAATCACTTGTATGCTTCTCTGCTTCTTTGTTTACTTTTCACAAGAATGGAAAGCTCAGAAATAATAGTATGAAATGGCCCGATCCAAACAATAAGACGATGATCATCTGATTTTTAAAAATTTTAGTGAATGCATTAGATACCTAGTATAAGCTTGTTAACACAGCACTATTTAACAATAAAGAATATTATTTTCTTAGAATGGAATTAGCAAAGTATTCTCAAAAACAAATTTCTGGCAATTTCCTTCAATGAATTTCACTCCTCAAATACTTTTTTGAGAGGCATTAAATAAGTAAAAGGGATTGAAATACAAGATTGCATCTACTTCATAAAAGCAAATATTCTTGATCTACAAACTCCAGAAACATTTGATCAGCAAAAGTTTAGTACTCTACCACAAAAGCATTTAGTCACTGAGATTTTACCACAGTGAGATCTTGAAAAAATTATTTATCTGTTTTAACTGAGATATAAGTCATATACCATAAAATCCACCCTTTTTAAAAAATACTTTTTTTGGCTTATGTACTGTTGCTATTTAGAGTGACTCCTCTCATAGATGAAATTACTGTTGTTAATAAGCATTATAAAATGTTATCTTACCTTACAAAGGAAGTTGATCTTAAAACCCAAAGACTGGGCATTTCTTGAGCCAGAGTTCATGTAGTTCCCAACCAAAAGAACTAACTCTAAAAGTCTGTTAAAGCTTTCGCTTTTCTTCAGTTCTTCACAGGCATGAGTTACTGCTATGATGCTTGGTTTGATGTTGTTTACGTGCTCTTCAAATGTGAGTTTGAAAAGAATGCTATTGAGACGAGGCCGCAACATTTTCACTGAGCTTATCTGTAAGATAAAGAATGTTCCATAAGAACATATATTTAAAACCTGTTATTTCTCTCTCTAGTGGGGATAATTTTATAGACAAAACTATAAAATTTCTGTACAAAATGAATTCTCTCTGGGTTTTCAAAAATATTACTTTTTGTTTGGTTTAGACATTCCCAAAGATTATTTTTTATCAAAGTTTAAAAACAGCTGTTTGGTTTTAAATAAATTAAACAGTCCTCATAGCATTAAGATAATATTACTGAAGCTAAACAGTTGCTATATGTTAACTGCATAATCATTAGTCATCAATAGCATTTAAACTGCCAAAAATTTGTCCATGAGGTGAGCTATGAAAATTTACAAATATGAAATTGAGTTGAGTGAATGGTTGGGTCATAGATAAAAGATGTACGTGATCATAGAAAACCACCTTCCTAAAAAATTACCTATTACTATGGTGTTTGAAATCAGAGGACTAGCTCTGGTTGAGCACTTAATAATTTTAAACCTATGATTTCTATTCATAAATATATATAAAACATTTATAAATGCTCTAAAGAATTTCACCTACTTGACAGAATGTTGATGTTAAATAATTAGGTTATGGTAAAATTACATGAACTTACTTTTAAGTGCATTATTAAATAATTCTATATTGGTTTTCTTCAAAACAGTTCAATTTCGGTTTTAATTACATGTTTCACAGTGTTGCTGCACATTCTCTATTCCATTTGGTATAGCTCCTACGATAATAACTTATTTTAGTCCTTCCTATAACTCCAAATCATTGAACTAGATTTCACCCACCAAATGAATTCTGGGAAGAGAGATCAGGGGAAGGTAGACACACATGAACATACACAAGCACACACACACCATGAAAAGCAATTATTAACATTCCTAATTATATATATTTTTTGCATGTATAGCTTAATTATGTCAGGCGCAGATTAGGCACTAAGATATCTGAGGATAAAATGAAAAGAATTTGACAACATAAAATCCTTAAACCACAAAAAAGGGTACTTTTGAAAGTACCCTTCAAAAGCAGCAAATGAGCTGTTAAATAGACCATAGCTGCTCTAATACAAAAACAAGGCATAGTCCATCATTTGTCTTCTTTGAAATGAACCTGCCCATTAACCATGGGTGTCTGCCTCTTCAAAGATTAACCTTTGCCTTCTGCTAATCCTCCTATATGCTTTCATGATTTTATAGACAGATGTATCAAAGTATGCTCGGAATATCTACCTGTTACTCTATTTGTGTAGGTCTCATCACTTATCCCTAGCTATTCTATATGATCAGGGTAATCCACAAACCATCCCCCTGCTTCTTCAGGGCTCACATGGTAAGTGTAAGACACACTACCTTCTCGCATCAAGTCCCCAATATAGCCTAAAACTCATAACCCAGTCACTTAAAAACTACAGCTAGTTATAGAAGCAGCACATGATTCTAGATAGGTAAACAGAAATTGCGTGCTGGGGATGATCACTGAAAGAAGGGAAAATTTAAACTCTTAGGACTACAATATGTAATGAAGGCTTCACAGGAGAGGGATACAAACGGATAAACTGACAGAGAGGCAGGAAGGCGAGGAGGGAGGCAGGGAGAGAGGGAGGGATCCAGAGACAAAATGGGGCCAAAACGAAGGTGTAGAAAGAACGGTGTGAGAAAAGGTTTGTAGGTCAGGCATATATGAGGTATATATCCAGGGGCAGAATTTGGGCCAAAGTATCTGAAAAGTGGATGTAAAGGCCACAAAATTGGAAGGTAACCACATCAAAGTCTACGTGTCCATGAACGTGCCAATTTCCTCAAGTATGTTTGTGTGGGAATCTCTCTAAGTTTCTACATGTGATTTTCTGCCTTCATTTCGCCTCTACCACTGACTCCAAATTCCTCCCCACTTTAGTTTTCCTTTTCTTTCGTTGCTCACTGGCCACCCATAGCACAGAATCACGTTTCTATATTCAGGGAGCAGTTTTCGGTCTCCCTGATGGCTAAGAGCCAGAGTTACCTGGAGCAGGGGCCAGTCACCATGTACCTGCTTTACACAGCTTGTGGAAACCTAGGTCACCAGGGTGGCCTTGTCCCTGCTCAACAAGGAATTTCAACCCAAGGCTTACAGGGATGGTTAGTCTTGCTTCTGTTCTTGGGTTTTTGTTTTGTTTTTTAAGCTGAGTCATCCTGCCACCTGTTGGCAGCTCAGCGGCAGCTCAGCTCAGGCTGGGCATCGAACTGCTGTTGCTCAGAGCTCAAACTCTTGAGCGAGCTCTTAACCAACTGAGCCACTCAGCTGGCCCTTGCTTCGGTTCTAATACCACTTGTCTTCATTCATATTTTTATCCTTTTGGAGCTTTGTACTATATTTCCATCCTTGGCCTACAAACCCAGAGAGCATGGATTTTATTTCATTTTTTTTAATACCAGATCCAACTGAATAATAATAATGTGACTCGAAATGCCTTTCAATAATAATAGTAACAACAGTGATTAACATTTATTGAGTACTTTCTGGCAGACATTTTTCTACCTATGTATGATACACACACACACACACACACACACACACACACACACACATATATATATACACACACATATACACACACACATATATGTATACACTTTTTTCTATATATGTAATATACATATGTATGTATACACCAGGGGTGCCAAAAAATGTATACAAGTGGACACCTTGGTCACTGTTGCTCAAGCAGTTCACCGTAATCAGAAGTGTCTGGACACTGATGGTAACCACTTGGAGCACCTTTTATAATTGCAGAAGTCAAACATGACTTGTATTCATCTTTTGCTCTCGGTATATATTCAATATTACAACTTTTTAAAAAAAGATTTCTATTGGGGAATTGAGGGAGGGGAACAGTGTTTGGGAATTGGGGAGGGGGACCAGCCAAGGTGTTGTTCTTCAATCTTCATTGTGGAGGGCGCCAGTAGCCATCAGGCTGCCCATGGGCAGCTTGTGGCCTCTAAGCTCAAGGTGCTGTGTTACAATCTTAGTTGCAGGTGGACGTAGCCACCATCCCATGCAGGAGTCCAACCAGCAGCCTTGTTATTAAGAGCACACGCGCTCTATCCACTGAGCCATCCGGGTGGAACCTCACCTCAAGGTGCCAAGTTCAGTCTTAGTTGCAGGCGGGCATAGCCCACCATTGAACAGGCAGTCTTGTTGTTAGGAGCATGTACTCTCACCAGCTGAGCCATCCTGCCACCTGTTGGCAGCTCAGCGACAGCTCAGCTTGGGAGCAGCGTCACTGGCCCATGTGGGAATCGAACCGGCTACCCTGTTGCTCAGAGTTCACACTCTTAAGCCAACTCTTAACCAACTGAGCCACTCAGCCTGCCCCCAGTATTACAATTTTAATAGAGTTTTTTTACCTTTCTTAAAATGTGTATACATTTTTGGCACCCTCTGTATATTCTTGATTCTCAAAACAACCCTAGGAAAAGGTTATTGGCATTCGTCTCATTCTAAACATGCAGAAAGTGAGGCACAGCAATACTAAGTAACGCTAAGTAACATACAAACTGTATTGAAGACCTAGAGATGTGAACTCAGGCATGTGGGCCACAGAATCCAGACTCTCAAGCACTATAGCACACTGCCTCTTGACTCAGCTTGGAAGCAGTATATATGATTAGGTGACGAAGAGATTGGCGGGTGGCAGGGAGACCATTGTAAGGGTTCAAAATGGCCTGAGAAACAGGTAATGAGCTAGGGTGTTGACACTAGGATGGGAAAGGAATTAATACAAGAGCCAGAATTAAGGAAGGATCGCAGGGAATTAGCAACCGACCAGTTATGGGAGGAGAAAGTCAAAGGTGGCTCCAAGGTTTAAGTCTCTTATAAGGTAGCAAACACTGTTGGCCATAATGACAGCAGAAGGAGGTGTTGATTCAGGGTGGTTTACTGTCTGGCTGGTTGTTTTGTTTCAGTGAACAGGGTACATAAATTTGTTTCCCCTGATCTGCTGCTTACACTCCAGGAAGCTAATCAGGGACTAGGGCAGTGAGGGCAGGGAGGTTACATATTAGCAGCAAATTCAATCAAATGAGTCAACCTAGAAGTTCACATAATCTGACTGCGAAACGAATCTGCCTAATTTCTCTGGTCTTCAGTTTCCTCATCTGAAAAGTAGGGGAAATTCCTGATGAGCACTCTTATTCTGATTACTAGACAGGAAATAAACACCGTAAATGATCCATAAATACACTTCCTTCTTTTTCAGTATCTGACTCTAGAGCTGTAGAAAGATGGAGTAAAGGGTGATAGATAATAAAAAATTACTTGGTTGTTATAAAAAAAAATTATAATTTAAGTGAACTTGGTTCACCATCCTCTCAGACTCCAAATAGTGTATTTTACTACTAAAAAAGACATTATTAGCTCCCCATGATTAAGGCTCCAAATCTTGGTTTCATATTCAAATCATAGTAAACACAATGTAGTTTAGCACCATTTCTTACTTTTATTTTGACCTGAAGAATTTCTTAGAATTGTATTTCCCATGTTCACCATTCAAGCATACATTTTTATGTATTTCAAGGTTGAATTACTACAACAGGCTATTTAAATGTACTCCCCGATCCCTCCAGCCTTCCCCCGCCCCCAAATCCTCGCATAAATGGTAAAATGATACTTCCGTGGTAGGGAAAAAATATTGCATTCTTGACATTTTCAGTTTTAGGTATTATTATGATACCTGATAGCACTGGGAAATTCAGTCCTTGAGTTTAAGAGGAGATAAGTATTGGAAGTGGCAGATTTAAGTTATTCGAATAGATGCCGTGGAGGCGAGGTCATCGATGAAGAGAGTATATACAGAAGAGAGTCAAATACTGCACGTTGGCCAGCACCGAGCATGATGCTTGTACGAATTAGACATTCAAACATTTGCTGATGGATTCTAAAAGCACTCCTTAGCTGACTAACCATCTTCCAGATCTCCTCCCAAGTAGAACAGACAGGCTGTGTATTGAGCAAA